CGCGCGACGTAGTGGCACCACGCTCGTGAGTGCGGTCGCAGTACATGTCCGTTTCTTCTTGATTACATAAATGTTCATTGCGGAATTACCTGCACGCGTAATATTATTGTAAGTGCCTTCCTTCTCCGATACGAACCTCTCGCGTTTCCGACCGCATTAACCGACGAGCTACGTACAAGCAACGGGACTTAGGTTGTTTCATAGCGCCCGAGCAGGGACCGGTACGACAGAAGGAGGCACAGGTCCAGGGTAAAAGCTGGATTTACACGCTCACGAAGGAACAGCTTATAGAGGAGTTAGAGATACTAGGGATTGCAACTGAGGGGGTGCTTGACGACTTGCGTCGTCGCCTTAGCCGATATATGGACGAACATCCCGACGAGGTCGCCGGATCGCCGGCCGGCGCCCACGAGCCTGCGATAACAGGAACCGTGCGCAGAGCTGCGAGACCGCCACCGATACCCGCCCGCCGACCATCAACGGTCCCGCCGCCGGAGCCTGACCCCTTTACGCGTCCCGCAAAAGTCATCAATCAGATGCGGAAATGGGGGTTACATTTTGAAGGGAAGGACCCGTGGGGGTTCCTCGAGCGAATTGAGGAACTAAAAGAAGATTACGAGTTCACCGATCAGCAATTCTTCCGTGGATTGCCGGAGCTTTTTCGGGGGGATGCGCTGACCTGGTGTAGAGGGAACCGGAAAAGGTGGGAAACCTGGGGCGACTTCGTGGTGCACTTTAAGAGCACCTTCCTGCCGCAAGTTGACGCGTATCAACTGTTGGAGGACGTGCACGCGAAGAAACAGAAACTCGGGGAACCGTACATCAAATACGCCATTGCCCTGACCGCCTTGATGGGTCGTGCCGGTATCGTATCCGAGAGCCAGTAGCTGGAATATCTATATCGGAATATGCATCACAGTTACCAGTGGCGTATCCGCCGCCAAGACGTACGATGCCTCCGCGAGTTAGAAAGAGAAGCCGCGAATTGCGAACGATTGATGGCATTAGGGAAGGCCGAGGCCAGTGCCGCAGCCCCGTCGAGCCACGCTCCCACCGCGACGGCGATATATAGCCGCGGAGAATGCTGCTGGAGATGTAAGCAGAGGGGCCATACGCGTTTCGAATGCCGCCGCCTGCCACGTAAATTCTGCTCGCAGTGCGGGAAGGACGGGGTGATGACGCGGGACTGCCACCCACCACCGGGAAACGAGCCGCGGGTTGGAGAATCACCGGTCGCGCTCCGACCCTCCCCGTAAAGTATACGCCGCGACCGCACATTACGGTATGCATGGGCGGGTATCCGTTCGAAGCCCTGCTGGACACGGGATCCAAGGCCTCGTTTGTGAACCAAGCGACGTCCGAAACGTTGATAAACGCAGGGGAGGACCTGATTACCGAAGAAGGCGAAGTATTACTAGCCGATGGCCGAACGGTGGCGTTACCGGGCCGTATCGAGCTGACCGTCGACATCGCGGGGAAACGGTACCGGCACCCCTTCCAGGTAATGCCCACCCTGGGCAGCGCGGTACTACTAGGGGTGGACGTATGGGGAAAAACCGAGAAAGCGATACCGCCGCCACCCACCGAACGGCCCCGCGCACTCACCAGTACCACCGCCGCGACCGGGGGCCTCCGACAGCACACGATGCAGGACAAACGGGAATTGCGCGAATTCCTCGACCAACACCTACCGCTGTTCGACGCCGTAACTGGTCACACGCCGATAACTCAGCATCGCATACGTGTCAAACCGAACACCCGTCCGATTAAACAGAGGTACCGACCACGAAACCCGGCGATGCAGGCGATCATAGATTTAGAAGTAGAGAAAATGCAGGACGAGGGGGTCATAGAGCCGTCGCATAGCCCGTGGAGCTCGCCGGTCGTAGTCGTGAAGAAAAAAGACGGGAAGAACCGGTTTTGCATAGACTTCCGGCGCGTGAACGAGGTGACGGAACCGGACGCGTACCCCCTACCGCAAATCACCGCGACGCTCGACAAATTAAGGGGGGCGCGATACCTGACAACGCTGGACTTGAAGAATGGGTACTGGCAAGTCCCGCTAACGCCAGAGAGCAAGGCGCTGACCGCGTTCACCATACCCGGGAAGGGGCTGTACCAGTTCCGGGTAATGCCCTTCGGCTTACATTCGGCACCAGCGACTTTCCAACGACTACTCGATACCGTACTGGGGCCGGAGCTCGAATCGAACGTGTTTGTCTATCTCGACGACATTATTGTCATCTCCGAGACGTTTGGCGAGCACCTCGACCTCCTCCGAAAGGTTTTCGACCGTCTTCGCAGCGCGAGGTTGAAAATCAATCCAGAAAAGTGCCGATTCTGCGTAGACCGCCTCAAATACTTAGGGCACGTAGTAGACCGAGACGGCATACGAACCGACCCTGACAAGGTACGGGCCATCACCGATTGGCCCAGCCCTCGTACCGTTAAACAGATTAGACAGTTCCTGGTTGTAGCCTCATGGTACCGACTCATTCGGGATTTCGCAACCCTCGCTAGCCCGCTGACCGCACTGACAAAAAAGAACGCACGCTGGAAATGGGAACCGGGGGAGGAGGCCGCGTTTCAGGAATTGAAAAACATCCTGACCTCGGCCCCGGTACTTGCCTGCCCAGACTTCACCCGACGATTTTACCTACAGACAGACGCTAGCAGCACCGGACTGGGGGCGGTACTCACGCAGAACCTACCGGAGGGGGAAAGGGTCATCGCCTACGCGAGCCGGACACTGAGTAGGGCCGAGCGAAATTACAGTGCAACGGAACTGGAATGCCTGGCCGTCGTATGAGACATCCGACGTATGAGGGATTACCTGGAGGGGTACGCGTTTACCGTGATTACCGATCACCAATCATTACGGTGGTTACAGAAACTCGAAGCACCCTCAAGGCGGCTGGGACTCTGGGCCTTCGAGTTACAGCAGTACGACCTCGAGATCAAGTACCGGAAAGGGACGTTAAATCGAGTCGCCGACGCGCTCTCCCGACAACCAACCGCCGCCGCCGCCGCCACTACCCTTCCTCGCTGCCCCTGGTACCGACAAACCTATTTAGCGGTCCGCGACCGGCCAACCGAGCGCCCCGATTACGAGATACGCAACGGGAAGTTACATCGGCACCTGTGGCACGATCTAGACTTCCGGGAAACGGCCGCAGAAGAGCAATGGAAGGTGTGCGTTCCACGCGAGGCTCGCGCCGAAGTCCTATGCGCCAATCACGACGACGCACCGGCCGGGCACATGGGGATAGCGAAAACGATCGCCCGTATCGCTCGCGTTTACTATTGGCCGGGAATGATGCGGGATATCGCCTGATACGTCCGAAAATGCCAGAACTGCCTGACGCATAAGATAGCCCAGATGAAGCCCGCTGGGGCTATGCATGCTACCGCCGTGAACCGGCCGTGGCAGCAGGTTACGCTGGATCTCGTGGGACCCTTGCCACGATCGAAGGGCGGCCACACGTGGCTACTAAACATGCAAGATTGATTCACAAAGTGGGTCGAGCTACGATCCCTGCGCCGCGCTACCGCCCCCGCCGTTACCGCCAGTATCGCAGAAGCGATCATCTTCCGGCACGGGTGCCCCGAAACTGTTCACTCCGACAATGGCACGCAGCTCCGCTCAAAGCAGTTAGAGACGCTACTGACCGCGTATAACATTCGGCATACGTATACGCCCGTACACGCCCCTCATTGCAATCCCGTAGAACGCACGAATCGGACAATAAAGACAATGTTAGCCCAGTACGTGGACCGAAACCACAAAAACTGGGACGAGCGACTAATAGAGATACAATTTGCGTTTAATACCGCCCGTCACGAGGCAACCGGATACATCCCGGCGTATCTAAATTTCGGCCGAGAATTACTGTCGCCCGCCAACGCTCGCGACGTACCGATGGGATCAGCGCCGCCACCCGACACCACACGCCGACACCTCGAGAAGGCCCAGGAAGTAGTCCGGATAAACCTGGCCTGCGCATTTCAGCGCCAGCAAAAATATTTTAATTTACGGAGACGACCGTGGAAACCGAAAATAGGGGAATGTGTATATAAACGCGAGTACCCGCTCTCTAATAAAGCCGCCGCGTTTAATGCTAAATTGGCGAAGAAATTCGTAGGCCCGCTCGAGGTGCGCCGTGTGATATCCCCGGTTATTGTCGACCTGCGCAGCCGTAACGGACGCTGGTACCGGCACATTCATGTGCAAGACTTAAAACCGGCCTCAAACGCGTCACCAACAGAGACCGAAGCCGATACCGACAATGACGACAGCGAAGGGGAAGCTGATGGGGAGAGCGACACAAACAACAATAACAGCAATGACACCCAGCAATAGACAAAGCCGCCTAACAAACAGCGAACAAGTCTTTCCGCCGCGAGACAGTCATGGAGACAGAACGTGACGAGTTACTCGCAGCTATCGACGCACTCATCGGGCCGCACGAGGGGTACGACCCGGAAAATCCAGAAATGGACATAGGCCACCCAGTACCGGCCTGTGCCCCACCACCGCCGACGAAACTGACGAAACGAGCACCGACCATAAGATGCCTGGTGCAACGTTCGGATCGGGAACGACAGGCGAAGTTGGCGTGGTTGATGGATCCTCCGCCAGCAAGACCGCTGACCGACCGACGGCCGATGCCAAGGGCTAGCCAGCCAACCGGGCTCCAGCCAGCACGAGTGATGGGACCCCTGCCGCCGCCACCAGTCATCGTTACGGTGGAACCAGGGCGAAACATCGAGGTACCGCACTTTTCGGCCCACGTCTCCCGGCAATGGAAGAGACGCTGAGTCAGTCAGTGTCGCTCGTGCACAGGAAGAAGTCGGTCGGGAGTTGACTTTAGATAATTTTCGGGGATACCTTTCCTTGATTTTGATTAATTTTTTAACGCTAGTTTTCTAATTACTGTCTCAATAAAGACCAATTAAATTAATAAGAGACTAACTGTGTCTGACACTGACTGGCCAACTTATCAGAAGCCGGTTTTTGAAGTATTAAGAGTAATGTTTGCGATGCGGTATCTTGTGATCAAGGTGAGCTTTCTAACCATCGGAATAATTAATTATAATTTCAAAATTTTTTGATACATTAGTTTTACATTTTCTTTATTTCGAGAATTTCAAAATTTCTTTCCCCCCTTTTTTCTTTTTTACTGCATTCTTATCTGGATTTAATTCTGGTATTTATACTCTCGAGGTGAGGAAGATCACCATGACTAGTTAATAATTGTTATATTCTATGTATGTGAATTTATTAGTTATCTCTGAAGAAGGCTCAAAAATGAGCCGAAACATGTAAGCGCTTTAGTAAAATAAAGAAGTTTCACGCTACGATAGTCGTGTTATTTGCGCAACATCTCCCGCGCTTGACTCCTACTGCCCTTGTTCTTTCATTGTTTTTTGGATATTTTCTAATACTGCGCGCGCCTTCTCTCTCAAACACGAAACCAAAACAGCTGTTTTTATTCTTTTTTCCCAACGATTCGCGTACGCGATTAAATCGAATTGGGCGAAAAATTCTCGGAGAGGAGCATTCCCGTCAAAGGTATCAGGCTTTAACTTAAAACCCTCCTCTGTATGACGCGGAGCACGCGGCCCGACGCACTCGTGCACGTCCGCAATACTTCCGTCGCCCAACGACGGCCGCGACACAGCGCGAAGCACGAGACTCGATGCGTTTGCACACATTCGCGGTACACTCGACGCGCTCACTCGCACCCACGGCACACCCGTCTCCTACCGGAAGTCGCACGCCACCACAATCGCCCGCGTCCGCGACAATATTTTTGTTAATGGGAGGACTTATCTGTTTCATGTTGCGTAGCTCCTCTCGTAATTGTCTGATTTCTGCCTCTCTTTGTCGTGTCGACTCTATGTGTTCCTCTTTCGTGCGCCGCTGCTCCTCGCGTAGTTGCTGCACCTCCCGTAGAACCGTTTGCAATACCATTGTCATTGGAGAAATTTCCTGATAAGCTGCCGTGTCCAACGACTGTTCCATCGGTGGAGTCCTCTCTGTTCCGTGACGGTTCCTGATGCACTCTCCAAATTCTCCGTTGACATCTTGCTTCGGGTGGCGATTGGAGAACGCAACATTCCACGGTCTCGACGAATTCGGCCGGACGAGCCCCCAAATTGTTACGTCCGTCCGTCTGTTCGTGTCGTACGTCCGCACAACCGTCTCGCGGAAACCCGCTCGCGTCACGAAATGCCGCCGAAATGAAGTACACGAATATAATGAAAAGAACAAGAAACGTTTATTAAAACAGAAACACAGAGGAACACTCCGTATTAGAACACAATAAACAAGATATATGATCGCGGATGAAGAGACACGTCCGAGCGCTTCGACGGCTTCTCTTCAAATCTGTTTAAACAACGACAGCTTGTTGCCAGGCAACGCGTTTCTTCCTTCAAGGAAGATATACGGCGAACTCCGACGTATATCGGGCGACGATGCAATTCGGACATAACACTATGTGATATATGTATGTGGGATTCGAAGATGGCACTGAGCAGGAAACGAGAGGGATCACGTCTAGAGGGAGCAGCAGGAAGAAGAGGGCGCGATGAGCTGAGAGAGAGAGAGAGAGAGAGAGAGAGAAAGACGAAAAAAGGAGAGAACAGGTGTCAGCGTGTTAATGTTTTACCTTCATTCTTTGTACTTAAAAAGAAAGTTTTTGGTTCAAATATATCTATCATTTTATATAAGAAGAGGAATATACTATATTTCCTACATATTTGGGGGCTTAGCCGGGATCGAACGAAGAGCCGAAGAGTGAAGGATTGTGAAAGAATTCAGCAGCTTGTGACCGGAATCGCCCCCTCCGGAACACTCGGTTGGGTCCTATCTACTTATTAGTCTAACGGTCGCCACGTTCTTTCACCTCTAAGAACGAAGGACGTCCCCCCTTTCTTCCCGAATTTCTCCCGATTGTGAGGCCGCGTGGCTATCTCGCGATCCCTCCCCGCTCGTAGGATTTTTCCCTGGTTTTCAGACTTTTACTCTGTTCGTGATTTTGACTCGGCTCGTACTCCTCGCTCTGGTATCGGCTCCCGCTTTTTATACTGTCGGCGGGTTTCCCCTTCTCGGTCGGTTCGCTGTGTGCTCCTTGTGCGTTCGGTTTGCGCTTGTCGGGTGCTCACTCGGTCCTCCCTCGCTTCCTGTCCTTGGCGTGCCGGATCTTCGGGTTTTCTCTCCGTAGCCTCCTTGGGTTGACCTTTTCTTATCTGCTGCCTACGGTCCCAGATGTTTCGTTTTCTGTTTTGATCGCGCCTGATGGGTGTCCATGTTTCTTTTTGCTCGCGATCCCCCCTCTTTCTCTTCGTGGCTCACCTTGGCTTGGCCTCCTCTTGGTCTTCGTGGGGATATTGCCTCCTAGTCCACCGATTTCGCACCAGGTGTCAGTTTGGTTCCCGTTTGTGGATCTTCGGATATCCCGCCGTAGCCGGCTTCCTTGGCGCCTCTTCTACGCCATGCCGTTGGTCTTTTGTTCGTGGGTCATCTCCTCTTCCCACGGTTGGTGTCCAAAGCTTTTGGCTAGACCGGCTGGTCTGCCGCTTGCACCCCTGATGATGCTCGCTCTTTTTCCGCGCCCGCGCGGTTTTGCACTTAGTCTCATATCTATGGCTTACAGCTGCGTCTTAAATCTATACCTTATTTTTACCCTCCACCATGCTTATAATAATATATATATTATTTTTTTTTGTTTTACTTTTTCTTTTATTTTTATTTACATTGTTTGCTTAACTTAGCTTGGCGCCGCTGCGCCCCTGGGTCGCCCCAGCTGTTGGAGCCGCAGACGGGTCCATTTTTGGATTCGGCTGCAAGCTAATCTACGACGCATAACCTAACCTAACAACGCTCGATATACAAAGAAACACCAGAGACGATTAGAAGGATGGCCGAACTAACTCTTGGAGATATATTCCCGAATAAGCTAAGTAGCTATACCACGAAGTTGAGGGATATCAATACCTTGTATTTATTATTCTACGGAGAACAAGGTAATCCGAAAACGAATCCCAAAGATGTTCGCGCATTCAAAGGATTTTATTTTAACGACGACCATGAGGCTAAGTTGAATTTTATAATTAATACTTTTGCAGTCGAAGAGTTGGTTAAACTTTGTGCATGGTTTCAGTTTGAAATAACTGGATCTGCAGAAAAACTAACAGAGCGTTTGTGCTTAAGGTTAGCTAAATTAAGCCAGCTTAAGTCAGAAAGTGAAGACGAGAATGACGAAACTACCGGCATAAATGACAATGCTGGCAACGACGACGGTCCAATAGAAAAGGAACCTACGACACGAGACTCAGCTACAGTGCTAGACGACGAAGCACGACAGCAAGGAGAATCACGACGACACGAAAAGTACGAAGTAGTATAATAAGGGGGATTCTAACCCAGGTCCTCTGAGGGGGGGTGAGGCGCAGGGGGGATCCCGCGGTGCGGGGGCGGGGTCCGCGGAGAGGGGAGGGGGTGGCGTCACTAGGCGAGGGGGCTGACGTCACGGGGAAGGGATGACG